TCTTGGTCTTTATTAAATACAGAATTGCAATATTAATTAAGTATACTGTTAATTATTAATATAGATTTGTATTAAAGTTTAAAACATCTCTTTGCTATATTATTATTAATTTGTTTTCTAATGTTTTTAATATTTTTTAAATTATGCATATAATATAATAATTTTTATTATGTATTGACTAAGAAAATCTATTTGGCTAGTAATTCATAGTTATTAAATATAAATAAAACATTGAGATAATAAGAAAGGTTAATTTGAAGATAGTAATCCTAGTGTAGTAGTTGGGTTGTTATCCTTCAAATGGCAGGTCTAAGATTCAAATCTCACCTATGACAAAATTTGAAAACTATATCTGCATTATGGTAACTGTCTCATGTCAATCAGTTGGCCTTATGTGGCTATAACTCAAATACACCAAGTCAGGTCATACCGACATTGGAAGCTTGGGGCATCTATGTGAAGTGTAATGTTATATATACATAGAGAAATGTATAACTGATATTGTATAAAACTTTAGTGCAAACTTATAATAAGACAACTAGGCATAGGAGACTAAGAAACCAAGATAACAGAAACCTACTTGAAAATTCTTGAGTAAAAAGATAGCATGAACTTTTGATAAAATTATTAAACTGGTTAAAGCCTATGCAACATCTTTATAGAAACTAAAAGTTAAACTGAATGCCAAAAATATATAAAGAAACATATAACCAGCCAGGCCACTGAATTCATTAAAGAAAAAAGATACAAAAGTATACTATACTGAGCCATCTGGATTGATAGTCTGAAAGTGACTGCCAGTTTCAAGTTGTAGCTAGTAGAAAATAATAATGAAGATGTTAGAAAGATGGATACTAGGGTTCTAGTAAACTTTACAAAGATAGAAATAGTATAATATAGCAGTTAAACAGATATTCTCTATGACTGCAAGTGTTAGATAACTATAGCTTATTACATAAAACTAGGTTTATATATGTAGAACATAAAGGCTTTAGTAAGTTTTTTGTTAAGAATAAATTAGTCTTAAGGGTAACAACAAGCATCAGAAACTTGGATGAGTGTAGCCTTAAGATGTTCATGTAATACAAAGAGAATTGCAAATGCAGAGAGCTTAAATAGGCAAGACTTCTAGTTGGCTTGCAGGTATAACAACTAATATTAAAACTTATATAGTAATGTGTAAGCAAACTACTTAAATTAGGTACCAAAAGTACACATGTGACTAGTTGTAACCTCCAATATAAGGTGAGCCTCTAGTGGCATGCTGTGCTCTAATATACTTGAATAAAAACATTGCATTCTCAAGATAGGGACTTTAATTATAAAAAAAAAAGTTAAGTTCATAGATTGTTTAATTGTATAAAGTAGTATAAGCCTGATTTTGGGATTATAAGTTTTTAAGTTAAGACAATAATTTATATCTAATTCAAAATCATGTAAAAAGTAACAGAAATATACTTTTGCAACTTCTGTTACTGCTGATATTTCAGTTACTTATACAATAAATAGAATATTAATTCTTTATTATATTTAGTTAAGATATAAAGTATAAAAAATATATTTCATTTTGACAGAAATTAATTACTAATATAAATAAAACATTTATTATAAATATAGAGCATTTCTGTTTAGAAAAACAAAATAACTGTTTCTAAATAACAAAAATGTTTCCTTATACCAACAAATTTTCTAATAACAATACATATCTGACTTATAGTAAAAGTGAAAGTACTATCCTATACAAATTACTAAACTATTATTAATTATATTGTTATTTCTGTCATTTATTTTATTTTATTTTATTTTATTTTTTTAACTTTGGTAACAATGCCAGTTGGTTTATTAGCTTTAATTTCATATAGTACAAATTTTACAGTTATATTTTTAGGATCAATTATTATTAGTACTATATACTATCTAATTTTATACTACTGACTTCACCCAGTTACCCATATAGCACCTAAGTACATGTTTGCCACATGCTTGCACACAGTTATTTTAACAACTACTTGTGGTCAGAGCACACTATTAAACCCCTATACAGACAAGAATACCTACCAAATTTAATATGATATCCCAAATGCCAGAGGTATTGTTTTCTGTAAATCGTACCTATATGTCCTACTCATATGTTTTATCTGATTTTGTTTCTTCTGCCTCTTAATCTAACTATATCTAGTATTACCTTGTTCTCCACATTTTTCATCTTTTTGTCACTATACTACTTCTAAATTGGTCTTACTTAGATATGTTTGATCCTTATGATCTTCCTATCTTTGGTATGCCTATTATTGATTTCTCTAAGGTGCTCTGACAATGGTCTAGGATAGTGCTTCAAATCGAGTCGGGCTAACCTGAAACCCAACTCAAAATTTCGGGTCAGGTTGGGTTCAGTTCAGGTTCAGATTGAGCATTAACCCAAACTGAATCCGACCCGACCCGAAATTGTCCAATTAGAGATGTTTGAAATAAGCATTTTATATGTTTTTTTTTGGATTCTAATAGCAAGTACATATGTTCATAATGACAACTACATATTTTTAAATAGTTTAAATAAAACCATTAATCAGATTTCTTCAAACAAAATTGTCATGGCAGATCTTTGATTTTGATTGGTTAACAGCCACAGATCACAAAATTTTGGCCTGCATTACATAATTTACCAATTTCCAGTTGTAATATTAATTTTTTTTCATTACAAAAATAGAAATTTGGGAAAATAATCTTACATTATGATAAAATTTGCTCAGGAACAATAATAAAATTCTGAGTAATTCCAGCCAAATATTTTGCTCATCACTCTTAGCCAATCAAAATTGAGAATCTGTCATGAAATTTTGTAAGGCAAAATCAATAAAATTTTTTTTTAATTCTATGAATCATAGGATAAAAATAAAAAAATTTCATTAATTCTAGTATGCAATTCACGATTTTTACTGTAGTAGTTATAACACATATCGAGGTTGATTTGATTAGCCAACTTCAATTGTTATCATTACATGAATTTTAAGAGCAAAATAGGTAACTGAATTCATTTTTTAAAAAATTTTAATATATTAGCCTTAAAATTTCAGGTCGGGTCAGGTCGGTTTTAGGTCGGTTTGGGTTCAGGTCAGGTTGAAGCTCTAATCTGCAAGTTTTCAACCAGACCTGACCCAAAGTTTTGGGTCAGGTTCGGGTTGGCTCATAACCCGACCTGAACCAACCCGTTTAAAGCACTAGTTTAGAATCTGCAAAGAACCCATATCTTAAGCCAGATCTGCTACTACCATTGGTCTTTTGACCAATCTGTATCTTAAGTCAGGTCTGCTATAACCATTCCTGCAGATGCCCCAGGTCTTAACATTATACAGTAACTTGATGCTGCATTTAACCTCTAACATGATGCTCTCTTCTATGGTAGAGACTAAGACTTGTTATACTTACAAACAGAACAATTCTGGTTATACTTAGAGAGTTTTTCCAATTTTAATGATACTATACTACCATATATAACAAGCTCTTAGCTTAATTGACAATACCTGCAGAACAATTATGGTTATGCCCTAAGGAGTTACACCAACCTCAGTGATACCATACTATCTTGCAGATTTTATCTCACATTGGTTGGTTAATTCCAGTTTTGTACATCATAGACTTCCATATAGATATGACCAGGAACCTAATTTGGTACTTTTACATTGCACAAGGAAGTTATATGCCAACCTCCAAGATTTTTCCCTTCTATAATTAGATTATTTGGCTGTGCCAAAGGTGCTTCCAATTTTTGGTTAGACCAATTCTTTATTACAGTCCATCTTCGTGTTCACTACTTCTCTTACTATTTCAGTCTTGGTTACTTTCAAAATACTTTTCCAATCAAATCCTTTTCTTAAATCCTAATTAAGACTTATTTGCACAATCTGTTAATTATTCTTTCAAGCAAGTACTCCACAAGTTAGGTGCAGAGATGTTGGTACTGCCTATATTAGGAGGTATAAGAATGTTGATGCTGTTCTAGCCTAAAGGACTTATATGCGCAATCTTTCCATAATATAATCTTTTGTAACAACTGCTTGTTATGCATAGTGCCTGCACTCCATGATTGGGTCTTCTTTCAGAAATTCCTATTTTCATCATTGTACTGCACTTGGACTTAACTATAGGGCTTCACATTCAATTACAGGCTCCTTATTAGGTTACAGAAGCTAAAATCTTTCAATTTTGCCTTTATCCAGCTTAAACTGTTGACCTTAACTGTGAAGAGTATGGGAGCTTAACTGCTAAGCTATAGAACCCATACTCTATCTTTGTTATTTTTAATAAACTGATAAACTTATTATTGATTACCTATTATAGCATGTGACCAAGCTGCCAATATTTGAAAAGAGTTTCAACTCTGATTTGTGTAAAGTAATTCTAAATTAAAGAAAACACAAAAAGAAAACTAAATTAGCACAAGAAGAGATTAAAGAAAAGCTGTAAAAAAAGAAGAAACAAGCACTTATATATAAATAAACTATTAGCTAAATCTAATATATCTGTTTTAATATAGCTCTATAGATTATATGAAAGTTGGATTAGTATAGAAACAAACTTCTAATTTGTAAATTACATTTGGTAATAACTATAAGATCAGAAAATAAGTAAAACATTTGTTACTACCTGATATAAGAAATATAAAAAAAAAAATAAAATTAATATATAGAAATAAGAAAACAATAAAGTTAAAAATGTTAATAAGATAGAAGAACTATAGCAACAACTAAAAAGAATAAATAAAGGACTTATTAATATTACTGCCCAAATAAAAGCATATTTAAGATTTTAAGTAATATATTAGAATCTTAGACCAATCTATAAAAGAAAAAAAGAGAAGTTAGAAGAAAAAATAAAAAAATTAAGAAAAATAAAAGAAACACACTATAAAGACATAATTTACTATATAGTAATTCTGCTCAAAAATATTATTTCCAGGAACTTATATCTTAAAGACATGTTAGCAAAAAAGTTTACTTGCAATGAACAATATTGGAACATATAAAATAAAAAAGAAACAAATAAGTTAGATAAAATAGAAGACAAAATAGATTACTTACTTTGCATAATTAATATATCTCAGTAAATAAATTTTATCTATAATTGGCCAGAACTAGTTCAAAAAGAAGAAAGGCAAAAAGAATCTAAACCTAGAAGAATTAGAAAAAAGAAAAGTAAATTAGTTAGTAACTTACTTGGAGGTAAAGAAATAAAGCAAATAAATAGAGATAAAACTACTTTAATAATATTGAAAACTTTAAGCCTGATATTGTTAATTTGTTCTTAAAAAACAGAGTTAAAAAAGAAAAAGATGAAAAAAAGGCTCTTAAATAGTATATAAATGCTGCCAAAAAGAACAACCCAAATAATAATAACAAAAAAGAAGTTAAAGAATCTCTATTCAAAGTATTAATAAGTTTGAAATATATAAAAATCTTTAAAAAAAACTATTTAAGCCTAACTGTATACCTTTCTTGTATTAAAGAACTGTCTATAGTTGAGCTAGGAGAATTAATTGATAATTATTCAGAAATCCTAATACCTTAGATGCCTAAAACAGATATTTACAAGAAACCCAAACTTGCTAAAACAAATGAATTTAAGGCATTTATTTACTATCAAAAATCTGCAAAGATGGGAAGTATTAAAGCTTTCAGATTCTATTAAAAATTAGCAAAAATGAAGAATATTGATAAAATATATTACATTGGATCTTGTTATAAAAACAGAATTGAAGTTGAAAAGAATAGCTGTTAAGCATTAGATGATAATAACAGTAATAATATTGATAATAATAACAACAATTACAACAATAATAACAATGATGATGCTAATGATAATAAAAAACAATCATAGCCAAAAAAGAAGACAGAAGGTAAAGAAAAAACTAAAAAACTAAATTTGGTAAATTTTAGAAAGCTTAAAGAAGCTTGCAATAAATGAATAAATAAGTGTAAAGAATTCTAACAGATAAATGAATGAAAAGAAGAACTTATAAAAAAAAAACCTGCCAAAGCCAATAGAAATTGCTAACCTAACAGATCTCCTATCCTGAAATTTAGAATGAAACAAGCTATTGAAGTTAAGTTTAATAGAATAGAAGAAAAATTATAAAGATTAAAAAAACAGAAATAAAACAAAAAAAAAATTAATTAAAAAAAGTTAATTAAACCTATCTCTTAAGAGAAGCTATTACTAAAAAAGCCTAAACTAATGCCTCTAAAAAGAAAACCATTCTTTAAAAAAAAAGATTAATAAAGTCAAAACAATGCTAATCAAACCAGAGCTATTATCAAAGAAAAAAAACAATAACATAAAAAGAAAGCCTAAAAAAAATAATAAGTAAAAATAGATATTAGAAGAATGATTTAAAAATAAAACAATAAAAAACAAAAAGAAAACTTATATTTAGTAATTGATCTATAAAGAAATCTACTAATAAAGCATTAATTTGGAGTTTTTGTAGCATATCTATTTATATATAGTGCATATAAACTAAGTAGAGAAGAAAGTGAGCCTAATTTTTTGGGATTGTAAGTTTATGAATTATGACAATAATTCATATTCAATTCAAGGTTATGCAAAAAGTAACAAAATATTACTTTTGCAATATTCATTACTTCTGCTATTTCAGTTACTTATACAATAAATAAAATATTAACTCTTTATTACATTTAGTTAAAATATAAGGTATAAGAAATATTTTGCATTTATGACAGAAATTAATTACCAATATAAATAAAATGTTTATCATAAATAAAGAGCATTTCTGCTTAGAAAAAAAAGCCAACTTTTCTTTAAACAACAAAAACCTTTTCTTATACCAACAAATTTTCTAATATCAATATATATCTAACTTATAGTAAAAGTAAAAGTATTAACCTATACAAACTAATAAACTATCATTAATTGCATTGTTATTACTATTATTTACCAATAAATCAATAAACTTATCATTAATTACCTATCATAAGCCATGTAACCAAGCCATTAACATTAAAAAAAAGTTTCAACTTTGATTCAATATAGAGTAATTCTGGGTTGTGAAAAACACAAAGAGAAAACTAGATTAGTAAGAGAAAAGATTAAAGAAAAAACTTAAAAGAGAAGCTACAAGTACTTATATATAAATAAACTACTAGCCAAATCTAACACATCTATTTTGACTTAGTTATTATAGGTTATGCAAGAGTTGAATTAGTTTAGAGACAGACTTACTAATTTGCAAATTATAGTAAATATAGTTGATTATTGCTAAATAAAAACTTTGGTTTGTCTATTAATATTTTTGAGTTTTTTAATATAAAAGTGTAGTTGTATTAAAAATTGCATATAGTAAATTTTTATTTAAGATATGTGTATATGTAGCAAAGATAATACTAGTTTGGATTTTATATTAGTTTGTTTTAAGAGAAATAGTTGTTTGAGTTGAAAGATAATGTAAGTTGATTTTAGATTTGATAAGACTTGATTAGTAAATTTTTGCCAAAGTTTATTATTTATGTTTTTGGATTAGAATATTTTTTTTAATTTTAGTAGCAGTTTTTTATTTGTTTATAAAGGCATAAGAAAATTATTATATTAAAATAAGAATATTATAATTAGTACAGATATGAGTATTTGGATTATTAGTAATATATAAAATAAGATAGCATAGTAATAAGTAGTTAGTTTAAATATAATTAATACAGCTATTGTATTAGTTACTGTGCAAGTTGTGTTAAAGTATTTGTATAAATAGCCAGATTATATATATTATTATATTACAAAAAATAAAAAAGTTTAGATTTGATATAGGAAAATTGGAAATCATTAGTTGTATTTTTTTTTAAAAAAATATTAAAGTTAAAACCATGCCTCTATCTTTATTGAATATTTAATTGAAATTTTATATAAAGTACATTTCTGTTTTTAAAATATTATAGAAAGAATAAAAGCTTAAACTAATTTATCTGTGGCCTAACCTAACCAGAGTGGCTAGGCTCACTTATATTTAAGTGTTAGTAATTATGTATAAAAGATTAGTTGATATTTAATTCATTAAATATACTATAAGTTTATTTTTGAACTAATAGAATTGAGTAGGAGAGAATGTGATAAAAATAAAACAGTATTTGAAAGTGTGTTATATTTAGAAGTTTGAGTTGTAGATCTTAAAATACAATATAGAATCTAGATTTTATAATAAATTTGTTGGTTAAGATAAAGTAAAAACTTGATAATAAGTGTTGTAGCTACTTTTTTAGATGACAGACTTGTAATGATGTCAATAAGTTCATTTGGTATTAGACCTATTAGGGTTGAAAAGATTGAAAATAAATCTATGTACTGTAAATAGTTATTCTACTCAACAGCTTGATTTGGTTATATAAATTGGTTATATTATTTGAAGTAGTGTCAAGTGTTTTAGTGTTTAAAGTATGTTGTAATAAAATGTTTATAAGGCTGTATAGCAGTTGATTAGATAGACAGGTTGTCTAGTAAAAGTGAGAACTGATTTGATAATATTGGTAACAGATAGGTGAGTATGGGCGATATTGTTTATATAAAATGTATGGAGTAGGAAGATCATCTAGTAGAATTTTAATTCTAAAAGATTTAAGAGTAGAGGACTAAAGCTATACAAAAAGTTTAAGATTTATTGATTGTTGTTGATATATAGCCAGGTAGCTTGTAAATTAACTTGGTTAAGAATTTTGTGTTATTTTTGAAAATGGTTTTGTATAATCTATAATGCATAAATATATGCATGACTTATTGTACAGATGCTGTAACAAATAGATAATTCTAAAAGGAAGTTTTCAAAATTCAAAATATATACAGAGTTGTAAATATTATAGAACATAAAAGTAAGATATAACAAATTATAATAGCTGTGTACAAGTTGGTCTGCAAGGTTATTATACTAATCATCTTGATGAGCAGTTACTTTGTAATAAATAATATAGATATTGTATGATTTAACAAAGTTAATAAGTGTATTCTATAATAAAAAGTATAATGTATATATATAAGATAAGTATGAGTTAAGTTTAAAAGACTATTATATTTAGAGATTACAGACTGTGAGTCAGTATATATATATGCTACAGTTTCTAGAAGCAGTAATGAAAGCTAATAAGATAGCAGTAAGCTTAGTTTTAAATAAGCAAGACCAGTATCTTATTTGGACTTAAAATGTATACAATATATTGTTATTTAAAATTTGGACCCATCTGATGCCCATAAAGCATTGTGAGATATCCAGGTTGATGACAGAGTCATTTGTATAAAAGTGAAGTTCTAATGATTGTGCATTATAGTTAGCAATTTGCTGGAGGTTGTCTGTTAAAGTATTGGGTTCAAACATAGTTAAAATTAAGTATGTTGTAATGTTGATATTAGGGAAATTAAGAATTTGAATAAAAATATTGAATTGCAATAGAGTATATAAAATCAAGGTGATTGGCATTAAAGTTGAGAGTTTTATTATATGTATTAACTTGACCAAAAAATCTAGAAGAGAGATTGATAGAAATATTAATTGTATATTTGTTGGCAATTGTATAAGAGTTAAGAAAGCAATATAGTCATATTTGTAATTGAATAAATAAAAGTAGATATAGACAAGTAAATTGTTGTTCTATATAGCATTGTCAATAAGTAATTAGGATGGTTTCTGAAGAAAAGGGCTGTCTCGAGCTTTGCTAGTAATGATTTAATCATCAAGTACTGTAATAAGCCATAGTTTTTCATAAAGAAAAGTATTTAGTTGAATAACTATAATAGTTTGTATTAGATATTGTAAGTGTTGATAAAGATATGAATGACTTTTAGTTTGGTCTTCTAAATAATTAAACAAAGTGTTTGTTTGCCTTTAGAAATTTTGTTTATGCAAAAAAAACTCTTATTGCTAATCCATTACACAAAAATTAACAAAAAATTCGTCTGTCTAAAAACTCCTATAATTGTTTATTTTACTGATACAATCTGTCCTAGACTCTTAAGTAAACTTGTTTAGCTCATCATTTTACATATATCCTGCAAATATTAAGCTTTAATAATTTAAACTTATAGAGAAAACTGTACTGACAGCCTTTGGTCTTCAGTTTATAACTTTTAATCATCTTGCAGTTTCACTGTCTTAACCTGTTTTATACCTTTAATTAAAGTTGTAGTATACAGTTACCTAGTCAAAACAAGTTCTAAATGAAGATTTTTGACCCAATATTGGTCAAACTACAACTAAATTTAAAATTTACTATTTTGCAAAACTCTTTTTCTATTTTTTGTTCTTACTCCATCCTCTTTTTCCCTTACATGTTTTTGTGTAACCATACAATTATTTCCAAATCCATATCTTATTAATTTATACTAATATCTGTAACCAACCTATTTATAGATATTCATTTAACACAATCTATTATTATTATATTTGGTTCCTATCTACATTAAACAGTAATTTGTATTACAAATTACAGTTGTGTTTAGTATCTGAGTTACAGTAGTGATCCTAACCATTCTAGTTACACTCTAGCACTACCCCAGTGACACTTCCATAATACAAC